CTGTGAGATATTACGGCATTACTATAGGCTTGGGCGAGGGCGTTGCACAACCGCTGAGGGTAAGCCTCGGCCAGCTTGGTTTTAAAGACGCGCTCCACGTTTTTTCCATGCAGCTGGGCGTGCGGCAAGCCAGTGCGGGAACAAATTCCTCTCTTGGACGACTTGCACAGCGCACGACCGATGCGACTCATATCGAGGTTGACTGTGGCGAAAGCCGTGGCTTTTCGCCACGGCGCTCCCCACTGACAGAAATGCGTGACAGTGAAAGTGACGGCCGACGAGCGCAGCAGGCGGACGAAAGGAGGGGCGAGCCAAGGTCGGCTCGTCTGGGGATTCTCATTACTAGCTGGGATGTTGGCCCTGATGGCCTCGTGCATGAGGCCAGCGCTGAAAATCATGAAAACGTTGCCTGCATCAACCTTGGCCTGATCTTTCACGCTCAAGTCGGGAAGGCCAAGAGGGAAGGCGTCACTTCGCAGCGGCATCGGTCCGGGCGGGATGTCCCGCGCGCGGCTCCACGTGTTGCAGGGCGTCCCGAGGTGGATGCCAATTACGAGCCCGCTTCGAACCCAGGACCGAATCAGCCCACGCTTCTGCGGGCTCAGCAGGTCATACTCGGGGCCCAGGCAGATGTCCCAAAGCAGGACGGGCAGCCCTTCAGCGGCGATCGCCCGTCCCAGGCGCCCGGACCCGCTGAACACCTCCAGGAAGAAGCGGGTCTTCAGGGAGGCGTAAATGGGCAGCGCCGGCCAGACACGATCTCGCCGAGCGAGTCGGCGCACCGCGCTGCGTGGTCCTGCATCGCAGCGGGCACCATCTGCAGCACCTGCGACAGGCGAGCGCCTTTCTCGTATCGGCGGACCGAATGCCACGACTGCCACCGGCCTCTGCGCTGGACGTCGACGAGGGACCTGGCCTTGCTGCCGTAGTCGTGAGACGCGCCCCCGTGCCTGAGCATGTAAGGGTGCAGGCCGGGCAGGAACTTCTCGATCCCGAGGGCCCTGGCGGCGGCCGAGAGGGCGCTCGAGACCTCGCGCTGCGTGATCGCGAACAGCAGAGGCTCCGGGGCCGCGCCGCTCGCGCGGCCGCCCGCGGCGGCGCCGCGCGCCGCCGCGGGGCGAGGCCTCCGCCAGTCGGGGCCGAGCCGCGCGGTCACTGAGGCCTCCAGCGCCGGGCCCAGCAGCTCCTGCCGCGGCAGGTCCAGCTTCAGCGCCTCGTCGTACTCGGCGGTCTTCGAGAGCACCCCCGTCTCGGCGGCGTGCAGAGTCACGCTCCAGCTGTCGTGCCCCAGGCGGCCGCGAGCCGGGCGAACCAAGTCGGTGGCCCGGATGTGGTACGGCTCGCTTGGGCGCAGGTACAGCTCGAAGCTCAGCCACAGCACGAGCGCCGCCTCGAGCTTCGAGACGCTCACGAGGTAGTTCACCAGCGCGCCCAGCAACTCGAAGGGGAGCGGGAGCCGCGAGGTAGGCGGCGCCAACCGACGGAACCCGCGCAGCGCCCGCCGCGCTCGCGCCATCGGCGAGCCCGCCGCCTTCGTCAGCCCCAGGAAGAAGAGCACCGACGCGAAGAGCTTCTGCCCGGCCCCGATCCCCTCGCCGTCCAGGTAGAGCTCGTCCAGGCGGAGGACCAGCTGCTCGTCGTAGTCGTCCAGCGTCGTGGGCTGCACGCCCTGCCGTGCCATCCAAGCCTGGAAGCCGTCGAAGGCTTCCACGTACTGCGCCCGCGTCGCCGCCGTGATCGACCCCGTCTCCAGCACACTCAGGCCCGGCAGCTGCACGGCCGCGGAGCGCCGGCGCGCCGCCGCCGCCGCAGTCGCCGCCACCCGACGCCGCCTCTTCGCTGGCGGGCTCGCCGCGGCCGGACGCCGCCGCGGGCCCCTCGCCTGAGCCGCCGCGCGCCGAGCGGGCGCGTCCGGGGCCGAGGGCAGCGGCGGCCCGGCGACGCGCACGGCGGCTGGCGGCCTCGACGTCCCCGGTGGCCTGAACGTAGACCGGGTCAGCGTCGCCGAGGCCGTCGGGGTGCGCGGCGGCGCCGCGGGCGGCCGCGCCCGCGCCAACATCGGCAGGCTTCCCGGGCGGCCCAGCGGCGCCTGGCCCCGCCGCGCCTGCCTTGGCCCGAGGCAGCAGCGGCTGGGGGGTCGAGGGGGAGAAACGCCCCCTCGAGGGGTTGTCGGCTGCATTCCACTCTGAGGGCAGCCAGCGGTAGTGGAGGGTAGTGGCAGTAACAAGGGTGACGGCGGCGATGGCCTGAGTGACTCGGAGCATTTTACAAGAATTGCTCCTGAAACGATCCACGGCCCCGGCCGCGCTCAAGGAGTCGCCCAGCACCACGACGCGCCGACCGCGGTGCCGCGAGGCCCTCACGAGATGCTGGAGCCCGTGCAGCACGGCCCTCGCCTCGGCGACCGGCATGCTCTCCTCCGGCCAGCGCCAGCGGTGGCGCCCCACGGTGCGCCAGGGCAGCTTGATCACGTCCGGCGGCACCTCGTCGAACGCGCTCCCGGCGGCCCCCTCGGCTGTGCCGGCGGCCTGGGTCTGGGGCTGTGACTATGGAGGGCGGAATCCTCCCCCCCCAGCCCGTCGCCGCCGGCATGCCGCGGAGGAAACCCCGCGGCCGCGACCGCCTCCGCCCCCAGCATCCACGGCGCAGCGTCGGCGGGGTCGCCTGCCAGCGCGGCGGCGGCCGCTGCGGCCCCCGCGTGCCGGCGTGGCGCGGAGCCGGCCAGCCCATGGTGCCACCTCCAGCGCTCGGAGACGTGGCCCAGCCTCTGCACCAGCGAGGCGGGGGCAGGGGCAGCGCAAGCCCCGATGCCCCACTCGCTCGCGTCGACCACGATGAGCTCGTCAGTCCAAGGCGAACGGAGGCTGCGCCACAAGAGGGGCGCGATGCCGCCCCAGTACTCCAGCTCACGCCGCACAGCAGGCCAAAGTCCGGTCTCCTTGTCATAGCACTTGCGGACAAAGGCGTAGCAGCTCCAGAACAAAGACATGCCCTCGCGCTTGATAAGAGATATAAATACCAGATGCCCGAGGAGCTTCTCGAGGTCGCGTCCCCGAAGACGGCCACGACCGAGGACACCTCGAACGGCCAGGCGCGCACGCCACAGCCGGGCCCGCGTGGGCCGCACGATGCACCGTCCTCGGTCAATGCACCACCCCAGCGCCTCCGACTCACCAGGCAGCTCGCCAGCATGGTCCTCGGCCTTTACCTCGAGCCCGCGGGCGCGCAGCGCGTCAGACACGCGCCGCACGAGCGCCGCCACCCACTCGGAGTCGGTGCCGATCGCGATGAAGTTGTCGACGTACTCCAGGTGGGCGCCCGGCGTCATCGGCGGCGGCGGCCGGCGGTCAACGATCCGCAGCTCGGGGCAGGCGCCGGCCTCGACGCTGGTGCGCTCGTGCACGCGCTGGCACCACCACAGCGCCCAGCTCCACCCCATCGGCAGCACGGCCAGGCGCGGCGTGACAAGAGCGCCCCGGCCGAGCGGCTTCCCGCCGAGGAGCTTGATGCCAACCGCCGAGGCGCGCACGGGCCGGAAGGAGAAGTACCCCCTCAGCTCCTCAGGCAAGCCCATGTGGTAGAACGCGTCGCTGAGGTCGGCACCCTGGATGTGGAGCTCGTCGTTGAGGCCGAGCTCCAACCTTGAAAGGGCATCGCCCGTGCACAGGCTCACCCCGGCCGGCTCGGCGAACCAAGCGTTGGCCCTCCGGCAGTCTATCGCCATGCGCAGCCTCTGGTCTTTCTTCTCCACGAAGAAGGCCTCGACGGACTCGATGCCAGACTCGGCGAAGTCGACGAGGCCACGCTCTTGCAACATACGAATGAATTCCTCATAAGCACCCCGACGCCGCAAGGCTGGGTCAGAGTACGCCCGCTCCAGCCCCACGCCCTGCAGTCGCTGCTTCGCCCTCTCGGAGCACAGCAAATTCTGTGATATAAAATCCTTCACGGTGTCACTCCCGCCGCTCCCCCACAGAGTCTCCAGCGGAATCGGCCGAACCGTGCCAGAGGGCAGTGAGATCGCGTCGGGGCGGTAGGATCCGAGCTTGGCAGAGTCCACGTCGTACCAGCTCGCCACGCGAAGCTTCCGAAGAGCCTCTGCGGGGGTGAGCCCCGGGGGCGGCGCTCCCAGGGCCCGCGCCGACTCCTCGACGAAGTCGATGGCCTCGCGCTGCGCGCGCGAGACGAAAGCACAGGCTGGCGCGCCCTGGCCAAGAGCCGGCTGAGGCGCATGCGAGAACATCCCGTTGAGGCTGCGCACCGCTCGGTCACAGTCCAGCTCCACAGCAGCACGCGCGCCAACCCGCTGCCGCACCGACCGGCTAACAGCACCTGCCTCTCCGGAGAAGGCGCCGACTGGCCGTCGTGGCAGAGGAAAAAGATCGCGAGGAACATGGCGGTCGTCACCCGCGTCAAAACTGCGGCCACCAGCGAGGGGCGGCCTGGGGCTCGGCAGGCGGCTGGACCCCGCCCCTGAAGGGCCCAGCCGGCGCGAGTCAGGAGTCATTTCTCCTTGGGCCCTTTGCGGAGGGCCTCCCGCTCTTCTCGTGCAACTCTCAGGTTCTTGGCCAGCTTCGCCTCCCGCTCCACCTCGGTGCGGACGTAGTCCAGCAAGTCCGGGCAGATCATGAGCGTCGACGAGGCCCTCGTGGTCCCCGCGAACGCGTGCTGCTCCTCCAACGACATCTTCCCCTGGTAGCTCTTCGACTCCGCCTCCCTCGCCCGCTCCGGGTGGCCGAACTCTATCGTCTGGAGCCGCCGGAACTGGTACTCGACCATGATCAGGTTGCTCCCGTCCAGCTGGTCCACCAGCAGCCCCTGGGTCAGGGCCTGGCATATGTTGAAATGCTCGAAGACCCCCCGCGAGTTCCAGTCGAGACGGCAGGCCGTCTTGAAACGTTCGTGGTGGCCCAGCAGCCCACTCCCCTCCTGGTTGATGAACTCTATGCACCACAAGCTCGACCGCGGCCCCGGCAGCTGCCAGTCGGCACCGAAGCTCTCCTGCTTCAGCACGGCCGTCATCTCCGCCCAGGTCCGCTCCCGCCTGTCCTGGCGGTTGCGGCGGATCGGTGTGATCCGCGCATCCGTGGCCACCGCCCGATCGAAAAACTCGGCCTCGTCGGCCGGGTCCACGTGCTCGACGAAGATCCCGACGCCATCCGGGAGTACGTGGATGTCACGCTTGCCGACGGCCAGCCCACTCCTCGCGTGGTCAGTCACGACGTCGCCGTACCGGAAGGGCCCGGCCGCCATCGCCGCCCGCCACTCGGCGACAGGAGCCCCAGCGGCAGCGCCCGGCGCAGCCCCCTGCAGAGGCCCGATGCGAGGAGCCCGCGGCGCGGCCGGAGCCCCGCCCGGCACCGGCAGCGGCCGCAGGAAGACGAGGTTCGCCAGCAGCCCCGGATCGCCCCGAGCGGCGGCGATCCGCTGGCACTCGGCCTGTGCCTCCGCCTGGGCGTCAGCCAGCGCCCGCGCCCGCTCCTGAGCTGTCGGCTGCTGCCTGAAGCGGTACACCCGCTCGGGAGGCACCCCAGCGGGCACCGCGGCCCACGCCCCGGAGAAGCGGACGGCGGCCACGTCCACGCTGTCGTCCCCGTAGTCCTCCGCGTAGACGTCGCCGTCGGGGGTCAGGATGACGTAGCTAGAATCCGACAACCCCACGAGCCCCAGAATCAGCCTCTGGTGCCACAAGTGCTCGTCGTCGGCGTACAGGACGAAGGCCCAGTCCCTCGCCCTCGGCGGCGCCGCTGCCATCCTCGCCCTTCGTCAGCCGCTTGGCGCAACTCAGCCCGCCGCGCACCACCGCCTGGCCGAGCACGGCGAGAAGGCACCCGAGCACCACGCCGAGCACCAGCCACCACCCTGGCCCCAGCCCGCCCCAGGCCGGAGCGCCGGCGCGCTCGACCTCCGTCGGCGCGGGGCAGCTCTGGCTCTCCGGCGGGGGCCAGGCCGGCGCTGCCGGCGCGGCGGTCCCGCCCGGGCAGCCCGGGCACGCCGGGCACGGCGGGCACGAGCACGAGGCCAGTGCCGGGCAAGGCGGGCACGCCGCGCAGTGGCAGTCGGGCACCGCGGGGCAAGCGGGGCACCGCGACAGATAGGCGCCCGCTACGCCGCCCGCCCACTCCAGGACTCGCACGGCGAAGGGCCCAGCCATGCGGGAGGCCCGACGCCCTGCTTTGCTTTGAGCCACCGTGTTGACGGATGAGACCAGAGGCAAACGAGGACCTCAGGACGAGCGGCCTTCACCGAAACGCGTGCCGAGATTTCCGTACAAGTACAACGCATATATATGAGTATTCGTATTCGTATTATCTTCAATCGCATGATCATTGGTATTCGTATATTTCTCAATCATCATATTAGTCGGATTCACATTCGGCGACGTATTATTTTTGGCTTACGAGTGCCATGATCATTATTATTCGTATTATTGTTCGCGTTCGTCCTCGTCTTGTTCTTATTATTTCCCCTCCTCCTCCCCTTCCTCCTCCTCGTCCTCCTCGTCCTCTTCCACCTTGTTTGCGTGCGCCCCGAGTCCTCCCCCGCCCTGCCAGCCCGGCGTCGCGCGGCGCCCAGCAGGGGCGCCAGCGGCGCGCGACGCCGCAGCCCGCCGCCGTCGACGACGCAGACCTCGGCCTCCAGCGCCACGGCTGCGGGCACGGGCCCACCTTTTGGCAAAGGTAAGAGGAGAGGGAGAGGAGGGGAGGAGGAGGAGGAGGAGGAGGAGGAGGACCAGGAGGAGGAGGAGGAGGAGGAGGAAAAGGAGGAAAAGGAGCAGGAGAAGAAGGAGGCGGAGGAGGAGGAAGAGGAAGGAGGCCGGAACACGGAGGAAAAAAGGAGGAAGGAGGAAGGAGGAAGAGGAGGAGGAGAAGGAGGAGGGGGAGGAGGAGGAGGAAAGCAGGAGGTGGAGGAGGAAAAAGGAGGACCTCCCAATCCTCCCCTCTCACCCGTCCTATGGTTGTGGCGGTGGATAAATGGCCCATCAGGGCAATCCAGGGAAACGATAGGGGGGGAGAGGCTCGCGAAAACTGCAATCAGGGCAATCCAGGGTCCGCCGTCCGCGCTAAAACGATTCTCGCGAAAACTGCTGCCGTTCGAAAGAAAAGGTGCCCGCCGGTTCCTGGCCCTCCCTCGCGCCCCGCGGCTGTCGGGAACCAGGATTTTGCAACGCGGCGGCCGCCGCCTCCAAGGCGGCGTCGATGCCAGGGGCCCACGTCGGCCAAGAGGATGGCGGGAAACCAGGATTTTGGAGAGACCGAGGCTGGAAAAGCCCGAATTTCCGGTTCCCGGCTCTGTCTGGCGCCCCAAGGACCCACGGCGGCCCAGAGGAAGGCGGGGACCAGGATTTTGGAGAGATCGACACTGGAAAAACCCGAAATCCTGGTTCCCCGCTCTGTCTGGCGCCCCAGGGACCCACGGCGGCCCAGAGGATGGCGGGAACTAGGAGGAGATCGAAGCTTGAAAAACCCGAAATCCCAGTTCCCGGCTCTGTCTGGCGCCCCAGGGACCCACGGCGGCCCAGGGGAGGGCGGGAACCGATGCGGGAACCAGGATTTTGGAGAGATCGAGGCTGGAAAACACCGAAATCCTGTTTCCCGGCTGTCTGGCGCCCCAGGGACCCACGGCGGCGCAGAGGAGGGCGGGAACCAGGATTTTGGAGTGATCGAAGCTTGAAAAACCCGAAATCCCAGTTCCCGGCTCTGTCTGGCGCCCCAGGGACCCACGGCGGCCCAGGGGAGGGCGGAGACCAAGATTTTGGAGAGATCGAGGCTGGAAAACACCGAATTCCCGGTTCCCGACTCTGTCTGGCGCCCCAGGGACCCACGGCGGCCCAGAAGATGGCGGGAACCAGGATTTTGGAGTGATCGAAGCTTGAAAAAACCCAAATCCCAGTTCCCGGCTCTGTCTGGCGCCGCAGGGACTCACGGCGGCCCAGAGGATGTCGGAAACCATGATTTTGGAGAGATCGAGGCTGGAAAAACCCGAAATCCCGGTTCTCCGATCTGTCTGGCGCCCCAGGGACCCACGGCGGCCCAGAAGATGGCGGGAACCATGATTTTGGTGAGATCGAGGCTGGAAAAGCCCGAAATCCTGGCTCCCGGCTCTGTCTGGCGCCCAGGGACCCACGGCGGCCCAGAGGATGACGGGAACCAGGATTTTGGACAGATCGAGGCTGGAAAAACTCAAATTCCCGGCTCCCAGCTCTGTCTGGCGCCCCAGGGGCCCACGGCGGCCCAGAGGATGGCGGGAACTAGGATGAGATCGAAGCTTGAAAAACCCGAAATCCCAGTTCCCGGGGCTCTGTCTGGCGCCCCAGGGACCCACGGCGGCCCAGAGGATGGCGGGAACTAGGAGGAGATCGAGGCTGAAAAAACCCGATATCCCGGTTCCCGGCTCTGTCTGGCGCCCCAGGGACCCACGGCGGCCCAGAGGGTGGCGGGAACCGTTTTTTTGGAGAGATCGCCGGTTCCCGGCTCTGTCTGGCGCCCAGGGACCCACGGCGGCCCAGAGGATGGCGGGAACCATGATTTTGAAGAGATCGAGGAATTCCCGGTTCCCGGCTGTCTGGCGCCCCAGAGACCCACGACGGCCCAGAAGATGGCGGGAACCATGATTTTGGAGAGATCGAGGCTGGAAAACCCCTAAATCCGGGTTCCCGGCTGTCTGGCGCCCCAGGGACTCACGGCGGCCCAGAGGATGGCGGGAACCCAAGTTTTGGAGAGGTCGAGGCGGGAGAAGCCTGCGCTCTGCTGCTCAGTGCTCTCTGCTGCTCTGCTGCTCTCTGCTGCTCTGTGCTCTCTGCTGCTCTGTGCTCTCTGCTGCTCTGTGCTCTCTGCTGCTCTGTGCTCTCTGCTGCTCTGTGCTCTCTGCTGCTCTGTGCTCTCTGCTGCTCAGTGCTCTCTGCTGCTATGTGCTCTCTGCTGCTCTGCTGCTCTGTGCTCTCTGCTGCTCTGCTGCTCTCTGCTGCTCTGTGCTCTCTGCTGCTCTGTGCTCTCTGCTGCTCTGTGCTCTCTGCTGCTCTGTGCTCTCTGCTGCTCTGTGCTCTCTGCTGCTCCGTGCTCTCTGCTGCTCTGTGTTCTCTGCTGCTCTGTGCTCGCTGCTGCTCTGTGCTCTCTGCTGCTCTGTGCTCTCTGCTGCTCTGTGCTCTCTGCTGCTCTCTGCTCTCTGCTGCTCTGTGCTCTCTGTTGCTCTGTGCTCTCTGCTGCCCTGTGCTCTCTGCTGCTCTGTGTTCTCTGCTGCTCTGTGCTCTCTGCTGCTCTGTGCTCTCTGCTGCTCTGTGCTCTCTGCTGCTCTGTCCAAACCCGATTGGTTTTCGCTCGATTGTTTTTCGCTTGAACGGATTATCTTTCCCCCCGAACGAGCGTTTTTCGCTTGAGCAATGCACCCTCGAGGCTCAGGGGGGGGGGGAGGGGGGTGCGCGTCCACCCCCCCAGTCGCCCATCGATCGCCGATGGGGGCCCGACAGCCACGCCCCGATAGCGAAGCCGCAATCTTCCGGCAATGCATCGCCGACCCCAGGTCGATGCTACCCCCCTGGAGCTGCCCCCCCCTCACCCGTCGGCCAGAAGAAATGGGAAGAAACATGAAGTAGGAGGGCGATGAACAGTGATTGGGTTTCCGCCCGCCCGCTGAAGACGAAAGGGAAAAGGAAAACAAGTCGACTCTTGAAGTAGGAAGGCGCTGCAAGTAGGTAGGGCTTCCGTCCGCCCCTTTGAAGAGGAGGGGAAAGGGAAAACCGCTCGACGCCTGCAGTAAGAAAAACGGCCTGAGAAGGTGGGAAATGCGCGTGTGAAACTCGCGGGAGTGATCGCAGATGGGAGGGGAAGACTGAGGCGTTCTTCTTCTCCACGCTCGGATGCTTGAGCCAAACGCAGGCGGTGCATGGCAGGTCGAACGCAACGCTTGCGCCCCATGTCGCTGCTACACAATGCTACGCGCAGAATTGCATCGTGCTTCAGGCTACTACTATTTCAGGCTATGTGGTTGACTCAGGGCGCTGCGCGGGACAGTCGCCGAGCGTTGCCTGTCCACGCTGCGCTAGCCTGAACCCCAGGCGCCTTCCGCCGCCCAGGCCGCGGCGTCAAAAGCCTCATCGGCCAGAACAGCGCGCGCGTTTGCCTCTGCTCGATCACCGTGCCTCCGAGGAGGACCTCCGAGGGCGCATGCGCCGCAGCGCGATGGGGTCTCATGCAACCTCACGCGTGGACTACAAGCTGATCGCCTCCTCGAGGCTCGTCCGCCGTCGCGGCCTGCAGTCGCGGACGCAGGCGCTGTCGCGGGAGTTCTGCCGGCCAGCGGCGCGGGCGCGGGGGCCGCCCGCGGCCTGGGTGGCGGCTGCGTCAGCCATGGCTGTGATCAGGCGCGTCATGCTCGCGATGCCGCGCATCGTAGCCTCCTGCTCCTGCACCCATCGCCCTCGCCTTCGTCGCGCCGCCGCAAGCGGCCGCGGGCCCCTCCTGGACCTCGCGCGGCCGGCGCGCCCCAGCCCCACAGACGCGCCAACCCTCGGGTCAGAAGAGCGACGAACATGTAGTTGAGGGGCATGGGGTCCTCGCGATACGGCCCCACCGCGCGCGCCAGCTTCTCGCGCGCCTCCCAGGCGGCCTGCGCTGCAGAGGCCGCTCCCAGGGCCACCGACGCAGTCGGGAACCAGCGGCGCGTGGGCTTCGTCAGGGGGGGCAGCTTCGCGAACTCCTGGCGCCTCTTCGGCCCCGGCACCTTCGCCCCCAGGTCGGCGATGTTGGCATCGCCAGGGATCTTCTTCAGGATGATTCGCTTCTCCCAGACAACGCCCTGGACCCGCGGCCACCGCGTCGCGACGTGGCGGGCCATCCCCGCGACGCTCCTCGACCTGATGCCGATGGCGGCGCCGGCGGCGCTGCCGACGGTCACCGACCGCGCCGCTCCCGCACCCCGCGGAACCGCGTTCTCCTTGAAGAGACCATGGGCCATGACGCCACTGGCCGCGCCGTCGACGATACCGCGCTGCTCGGCCTCCGCGCCAGAGATGGCGCGGACCTGGTCTGGCGCGACCCAGGACTCGACCCAGTGCGAGCCCGCGAACTCGCCGCCCGCGCAGGTCGAGCGCAGGACCAGCTCCTCGGCCACGTTGCCGTCGACCGGGGCCCAAGAGCCTCGCGCGTTCAGTTCGCGCTTGAAGAGGGGCGCCAGGGGCGGGCGGCCCGCGAAGTACCGCGCGCAGCGGTCCGGCCTGGCATTGTCTAGCCAACTGCAACCAGGCCCGACTCGAGGGAGGGCGCTGACGTTGCAAAGCCAGCTGATCATGGCATCAAGGTGGTCGACGCCCTCGCTCTCCGCCCCCGCAATTATGTCGTCGCTCCAGAGACCTGCCAAAGAGCCGCATTGCCTAGAGCAGAATTTCGGGCGGCTAGCTTCGAGCACTCAGTAACAGCACTGGACAAATACTCTTGCCATGAACTGGAGGAAGAACTGGCGCGCGCGGCGGGCCCCATGCATCGGGACCGCCTCGCCCCTAGACGGGGTCGCCGCGATCAGCCCGCCCACCTGCAGGTCGCAGCGCCAGCGAGCACTGGCGACGTCGCAGAGCCCAAACACCCTGCTCCATGGTCCAGTTGTTGGCCACCAGGAAGTCTTATAGGAGAGAAGCTCGCGAGATGACCGACTTGATGAACATCGGCGGTGGCGTCGCCGCGCGCGTGCCCAGCCGGTCGTGCACGTTGAACTCCATGGCCGCGCGCCTCGACCAGACAATGGCCCCGCCGCCCTGCGCGCGCCTCTCGCCGAACCACGCGCCGCGCACCTTCTTGCGGCCCGTGCGCCCTTCATTGGCGCGCGCTCGAAGAGGCGCCTGTCCAGCATGTTCTGGCGCCCCCCTGCGCGACCGGCGCGCGCGAGCTCGGGGTCGAGCCCCTCGCCGGTCTCGTGGTCCAGAACGTCGTATGCGTCAGTGTCTGGCGTCGCCGCGTAAGCCGCTGGCGCCGCGACGCCCCTGGCTTCTGCGTGGGGCGGGCGGCCGCGCGGGCGCAGAGCGCCGATCGCGCGCCGCCGCGGCGCGGGTCCGCCGGCATCGCCGCCGCCACTTTCGAAGGGCTCAATCTTCTCCTGGAAACTCAGGTCCTCGTGCCCGGGCTTCACTGCGGTGCTATCGGCTTCCGTCTCCACTCGTCTCCACCTCCGCGGCGGGCGCGCGGGCCCCCGGGGCCGGCCCCGGCGGCCGGGGCGCCGAGAAACCGCGCTCTCCGCGGGAGCTGCCATCTCGGAGTCGGGGTCGGCGCCGGCGGGCGCGGGGGGCGCGGCAGGGGAGATCGGCGCGCCGCGGGCTGCGGCGCCCACGCCGCGGCGCTACTGCTCGCTAGCACCTCTTCCCCCTTGCCCCAGATCGCCGGGAAGCGAGCCTTGCAGGCGTCGCTGCGCCCCGTCGCGCGGCCCAACCAAGCCCGGCACTCGGGGAAGCGAGGCCGTTCCTATCGAGGTAGGCCTTCGCGACGCAGCGCTCCGGCCGGATTGCTGGGCGCCGGGGGCCCAGGCAGCAATCGTGCCAGCCGGCTGGACCATGTGGATCTTCAATGGATCGCCCAAGGTCCGCCCAGCGGGAGATCTGCCAGCGGCGCGGGCGGAGCTGCGAGCGGCGCGGGGCCTAGGCCCATAACGACGGCGCCCGAGGGGCGAATGGGCGGGGCGTCGCGCGCCGGAGGCGCTCCCCCGTGACCCGGGCACAGCGCGGAACGGCAGAGCGTCGGGTGCGCCGCGTTCATCGGTATCGGCATGCCCTGCGCAGGCAGCGCCAGCTGCGTGCTGGCGCTGGTGCTGCTTCCCCTTCTGGCGCCCCCCCTGCTAATCCTCCTCGGGCCACCCCTGTCGCGCTGCGGGCTCCTGCTCCTGGCAATGGCCTGCCGCGCGCGCCCGCCTTCCTGGCCTTGATGTCGGCCTTGAGCTTCTTGCGCTCGTTCTTGAAGTGGTTGGGCCTCCCGCGGCAGCGGCGTTCCTTGATTGAGGCGGGGTCGTGGGTGTCCTTGGACTTGGCTTTGAAATTTGGGGTCCTTTCCTTTCCCTTTGGGCCTTCGGGGTCCTTCCCCTTTTCCCTTGGAGATCTTGCCCTCGCCGTGTTTGACGGCCCCGATCACCATTGGGTCATCGACGCCCCGGACCCGCGTCCGCTTTGCAGCGGCGAAGTTCAGGTTCTCCGCTCGCAGCTGCTGGGGCGCGTCCAGACGGGCGGCGGTAGCAGGAGGTGACCCCAGACCTTCGTGTTCTGCATGCCGCTCACCAGCGTCGAGATCTTGACGTCCTTGTCCAATCCTTCCAGCTCTGCTTGTCGTAGAGCGCCTGGCGCCCCGCTTTGCGCTCTCGATCTCCTTCGCCGGGTCGCCGTTCGGATCCTTGCCGAACTCGCCTCGCCTGAGCGCGCAGCACGGCGCCATGGCGGACGGGCACGTCGGGCTCGTGCTCCCAACGCCGCCGTCTCCAGGTCTCCGCGCCGTTGCCCTCCTCCACGTGTGTAACAGGAGGTGGGCGTCGTCCGGCGTCGCCATCACCAGCATGTAGCACAGCTGCCGGCTGAGGACGGCCGTGGCCTCGCCGAGATCGTGGCCGTCCACAACCTAAGATCCCATCGCCTCCGCGCGCCTGAAGAGCTCCGCCTTGGCGGCGTGCGCGGCGCAGGCAAAGGCGCGGAAAACGAAGCGGAAATCCCGCCACGCCTCGCGGCGACCTGAGAAGCTCGCTAGGGTCTGCGCGTCCACGGTCGCGCCGCCAAGGCGCTTTAATAGCGGCGGCTGCGGTGCCGCCGCGGGCGCCGCGCGGAGCTGCGCGAGCTCGGCCTGCGCCGCCTGCAGGCTTTGCTCCGCGGCCTGCCCGCGCTGCGGTTGCCGCCGGGGCTCCTGCACCAGCTCCTGCTGCCGCCCCTCCATGGCCTGCAACCGCTGGGTTGGCTCGGTCCATCGTTCCTGCCGTCGCGACGCTCTCGAGCGCTGGAGGAGCGCCCGCCGGGTTTGCTGGGCATGCGCTGCCGCAAACCGCGGGGCCTGGCCAGGGGCGGGGCTAATCGCTGCCTGGCGGCCTTTCCAAGCGCGGGGCTGCCCGCTGTCTTAGTGGAGCCGTGGAATCAAACCGCCTATCTCCGCTACCATGCGCGAGTATGAAAATCGCAGGAGTCATCGCAGATGAGAGGGGAAGACTCGGGCGCTCTTTTCCTCCACACTCGGATGATTGAACCAAACGCTGGCAGTGTATGGCAGGTCCAACGCAACGCTTGGGGACCAGCATGGTTCTAGTCTGTCGCGTCCCATGTCGTTGTTGCACCAGGCTGTGCACAAAATTGCATCTTGTTTCAGGATGCTACTATTTATTCTAGGCTACGTAGCTCACCAGGGAATCTGGGAATCCAGAAAAACTACTTCCGACTACAGGCGTATATCCTTGCCCCTCACCGACGGGGGGATGGCGCAGAGGGGGGGTGCGGGTTTTCAGGGAAGGCGGGGGGCGCCCGTCAGGAGGCGCGACCCTTGCCATATGGGCCCACCCAATTTCGCGCGGTCGCGCCCCCGCGGCGCTCGCGTGGCGCGGAGCTCTCCTCGCGCCTCTGCGTCGCCCCCCTGGAGAGGGGCAGCTCGCAATGGTTTTCCTGCCCCTGGGGGTGGCCTAGACCTCGGCTCCCTCACTTCGCGCGATCGCGCCCCGCGATGCGAGCGATGCTCGTCGCACCCCCGGGGGTGACTTAGACGTCGGCCCCCCTCACTTCGCGCATCGCGCAGCTACCTTCGCGCCCTCGCGCCGCCGCCCTGGAAGAGAACAAACAGAAGGAGGATAAAAAACGCCACATGCCAAAGCGTCAGGTCTGGCCAAAGCAAACATGAGGATAAGAGAGGGAGAAGGAATAGGATGGCGAGGAGGAGGAGGAGGAGGAGGAGGCGGAGGAGGCGGAGGAGGCAAAGGAGGAGTCCGGAGAGGGGCAGCTCTCCAAACCAGGCCGCGAGGCGCGAAACGCGATTTTCTCTTCGCGCCCCTCGAAGGCGACCCAGGAAGCCCGCCCTTGGCCCGAACGGCTGCCGTCTCCTCCTCCACCCCGTCGGGCGCCGTCCCGATGGGCGCGAACTTCAAGCCTGCGAACTATGGGAAACCTAACAATAACCACGACATATCTTCTGTTAGAAAACCGCGTTCCACTACTCGCAAAGTAACTACTCACAAATGGCCTGGATCCGCCGCTGGGGATCTACGATCCATGACATAAGCGAAAACATGTTTGTTGTTTCTGACGTTTGCGAGAAGGCACTTCGCGAGTAGTGGAACGCGCTCGGTGTGGTGGTTCCCCCGTGGGGCCCGAGAAGGACCCCAAAATACCGCCCAGGGCCCCCGAGAGGCCTCCCAAGAGACCCCTATGAAGCTCACAAAGAGGCGTCTTGTCCACGGCCAAGCTTGGCCCAAAAATGCCCCAAGGAACCGTCAAACAGTATGGGCAGGTGGAATGAGCGAAGCCATGAAATCATGTGAAACCTGGAAATCACCACGAAACATTTTGTGGTGGCTCCAGGCTTCCCATCATTCCGAATTATGGGAAACCCATCGCTGGACGACTGACCGACATGATGGGGGGCGATAATCAAGGCGGGGGAGGGAGAAAGGTGCCCCCTTCTCGTCGGGTGCCCTAGAGAGGGGGCCCCTCTAGGGACCCCAGAGGACCCCGCTTCTGCAGCCCTCGCTGTTCCCCCCCCTCCCCCATTCATCGCCCCCACCCCCCCTACGCGCCCCCCAACGCCAGCGGCCACCTCCGTCGTCCGGCTCGAGCTCGAGCTCGACCCTGCTGGGCGGCGCGCAGGGCCGGCGGCGCGCAGAAGGGGCCCTCCCTACCGCTCTCCTCGCCTGATCGACCTTCTCGGGGCTGGAGAAGCGGCTCGACAAAAACTGGACAGGACGGATCCGGGGAGGGGGTTCGTTGGGCCAGGTTTGAGCTGCTCGAGGGGGAAGCTCGGGCTCGACCGACTTGGCAGCGGCGGCAGCGTCAGCAACGAAGACGACGACGACACTTTCGTTTCGACGCCTTTCTTGGGCGTCATTGGAGGCTCTGGTCGCTACAATTCGGGCGCGTCTCGGGACGCCGGCCCGGATAGGCCCAGGAGGGAGCTTGGGAACGGCTCCGAGCGGGGAACAAGGGGCCTCTTTGAGGACAACCCATCCTGCCCTCCAAGAAATGCAAGAAGGCCCCCGCCTTCGCATTCAGCCAAGGCGTGTACGAAGGACGGGTGGCAAGGACGAAAGACCCTTGGAGGCCGAAATCGGGATTCTTGTGGGGCGGCGGGCGATCCGTGAAAACGGCAAAGGACGGGCCGCAGATTCAACTCCTCCTCCTCCTCCTCCTCCTCCTCCTCCTCCTCCTCCTCCTCCTCTCAACTGACGGCTGCCGCCGTCGCAAGACAGCTGAAAGTCTTTTCTGCCCGAAACTCAAGAGCTCTGAAACCGAAGCGGTTGCGGTCGAATCGGCGTCGGCGTGAGAGGGGCACCTCGCGGGGGCCAGGGGGACAGTGTCCATTTCAACACCCGTCCTCGCTGTCGCCCTGGCCCGAAACACGAAATCTCGAGCATAGCTTCATTGATACGGAAGTGGCCCAGCTGGGCCAAATATGAAAGGCGATCTGGGCTGATCGCAACTCAGGCCACGCGGGGCTGATCCCCGCGCGGAGCTCGCATCGCACAGGACAAGCTCTCGCGCACAGATGCAACGGGCTGGGTCCTGCGCTCATCAGCACGGCGCCGCCGTGCAGCACGGATGGCCTCCTTCGTGGCCGCCGCCTCGGAGGAAACAGTCGTCGTCACGTAGCCGTCGCGCATGGCGTTCGTCAGGTAGCTCCTCTCCGCTTCGAGCTTCGTCAGCGCATCCGCAAGCTGCACACTGGTGTCGCACCACTCCAGGTCGATTCCATCTTGGCTTAGAAGCCCTCGAAGCGAGGCCACCACCACACGAACCCGGCGATCGGCAACCTGGCCAGCGTCCGCCAACAAGTGGCTCACCAGGCTGTTAGCGTCGTCGAACCACTTGGCGGGCATCAGCGTCGCACTGTCGTGAACCAACTCTGCGATCGGCTGGTTCGGCTTGTCCATCTCGTAGTACAATGCCCTGACCCACTCCAGCGCCTCCGCGCCTTCGGTCAAGCCGTGGGCCTCTGCCGCCATCGATGCCCGGCAGACTCTCCGAATCTTGGAACTGCCCCAGTCCAAGAAATGAGCAGGTCCACCGCCTTCCTTGTAAAGGCCGTCGTCGCACAACAGGCACACAAAACCACACTGCGACCTCACCTTCTCGCCCAGCGCTCCAAACTTCTTCTCGTCGACGTTGTTGAGGCTGCTGTCGGCGAACACACGCACCCACGAAGGTCGGTGTCGTTCTTGATGAAATCGCTACGGAAGTGTAGGCACACGTCCTTCGCCTCATGGCAGTACCGCACCAGCTTGTTCATCTCCAGTTGGTCCTGCGCCGTCATGGTGTTCTTCTGCTGCGCGAGCCAACTGTAGCCGAAAGAGACGTCCATCCGCAGCTGTCGCGAGAGCCATCCCAGTGACCCAATCACCGACTCCGCAAAGCTCTTCTCCTCGTCCGTAGCCAGCGCCTTGATCTGCTTCCGCCTTGCCGGTAGCATCGGCAACCTCTCCATCTGCTCCACGAAGTGCTGCATCGAGACCCTGATCGAGAAGTCCCCTGCCTGCTCCACGTCCTTGCCGCAGTACCTGAAGGGTGGCTTCTCTTCCGTCAAGAGTAGTGCCTTCTTGAGCTCGTCCGTCGTGTCGTTGTAGAGCTTGCTGTTCGGATCTCCGGTCGCGAACAGGTCGCCCACGCATGCGCCGAAAAGGCCAACGAGGATGTCGCCCTCGAAGAGCATGAAGAAGGCTCTCTCCAAGCGGCTCTCCTGCCACGAGTTGCCGCGCAGCGTCCTTCGTAGCTTACTCCACCACTTCCGTCCAGCGTCCTTAGTACCATAGATCGCTCCGTGGCACACGAACAGGGAACCAGGTGGCACTCCAGGAGGTAGTGGTGAGGGCGGTCGTAGTACCAGCATACGGTCAACATCATCTCCTTGTAGGTAGGCGCTCGTCGCGTCGAGCTTCGACAGTAGCCAGTGCTTCCTAGCCGCCGTGGAACACCAGCAGGGAAGATGTGGGCGAATCCGTCCGGACATGTACCGACTCGTAGCAGCCAACCGCCACCGGCCTCGACTTCGCCTTGAGCGGTAGCTTGGGGTCGTACTCGTTCTTGTTGGTGTGAACCCACCTCGACGGAATAGGCTTCGCCCTCTTCAGCAGCTCCTTCGCATCGTCTCCGATGACCACGGTCACCGCCCTGAAGTTACGCCAGTTCTCCCACTCCTTGGCCATGCTCGCGTCGAACTCCTTCCGCTCGGCCTTGGTCAGGTCCGTCAGGTTGATCTCCTTCCCGCGGGAGCGTCCCGTTAACCACGCATAGGCTATCCAGCCGTGATACACCTCGTCCGAGTCGTACTCAGCAAGGCACGCTCCACCTGCCATGGGGCCGCCACCACGATGTAGTCGAGCGCGGGTCCGCTGGGGCCCGTATCCAGGAAGCCGTTCAGGTAATTCAGGTGGTTCAGGTGGTTCGGGAAGTCTTGGGAGATCTGGGAGTTCGGAAGGTTCAGGAAATTCAGGTGGAGGTGGAGTCGCCGCCGCGTCGTTATTCTCGTTCATCTCCTCCACTTCTCCCTCTCCAGCGTCGCCAGATCCTGGATCAAGCCCGGCAGGTGCTGGGTCGCGTCCCTGATGTAGTACTGGCTCAGGTAGCTCAGCTGCTGGCTGATGCTCTGGAACTCCGGGAGTGAGATCCTCCCCAGGTCGCGGATCATCTTGAGCTGCGTCGCGCCCTTGTAGTGGTGAGCTCGCCATGCCAGCTCCCTCGGCAGGCTGT